TGACTACAGTATTTGGGTGCTTCGCAAAGGCAGCGTGCTAGTCAGTTGGGCAAGCAGATGGCATTTCTCCTGTTTTTGAAATAGGAAAGAGTCAGAAAGGATCAGAAATACTTAAAAATTTTGGATTGGCAAACTCACATGCATAGAGTTTTAATTTCCCAAGATACTTGGTGATTAATACATACAGAGGATAGCTCCCATTGGCCTCAGTTGCTGCTGATTGTGTTTCCCTGTGTGAAGAAATTGGACATCCGAAAAATGCAAGCCAGAATTATTAGGAAAAAAAAAAAAAAAAAAGGTTGAAATGACTTGTCCTGGCACTGATGGAGATGGGATGCTGTTCTCCAAGGCAGTGTTCGTTGCCGTGAGGTTCTCCTTGTCGTCCCCCAGTCTCATTCACTTCACATCCTCCAAATGCTGTGCCGAATGAGCAGGGATCTTGTGTTGCTGCTCAGATCCATCCCTGGACAGATCCAGAGGATGCGCTGCATAAGGAAGGGAACCTTTGGTAAGAGGAGGGCTGGAAGACTGTACTACAATGCATACATAAACGGCAGCTGAATTAAGCCAGTACTGGAGCTGAGCGTAGTTACGGCATTTCTTGTGTATACACTTTGAAACCTTGGGCTTTCTTTAAAAAGGACCTGTTTTTATTCTAATGCCTGCTTTTTTCCAAAGGAAACTTCAAAAATAGTTTGCAGCACTGAACCACCCACATGGGTGATAAATACGGATCTCTGCCATCTAGCAATTAAAGTAACAAAATAGTGGTAAATGATCACTTTCTGAGAGCTTGCTCTCGATGGGAGGGAGTTTGTCAGCAAGCCTGTGATATTTGCTGACAGCAGAGGGATCGCTGAATTGGGAATTTGGGGTTCAATTCCAGCTCTGAAGGGGTGAATGCTATAATTGTTTGCCACCCATGCCCCAGCAAAAGCATGTGTATTTTTTTTTACCCCTTCTGCCCTAGCCCCTGGAACTTGGCTCTTCCCAGCCCCTTGCCCAAGCACCTTCCCTCCACCATTTAGACCCTCATTGCACCCATTTTTAATTCCCACTGCTGCTTCCTAATCCCAGTCCCCTCCTCTTGCCTCAGCACTCCACTCCCAGCCTGCCTCTCCCTTTCCAGAGGTTTTGCCTCGCACCCTTCTTACAGTCTCCAGTCTCCCCATGTTTTCACTAAGTCCCCTCCTGGGTCTGGCTCGTGTAAGCCAGAACCGGGCTTCTTCTCCCTCTGGCTGCCAGGAGGGATGCTAAAACCCAGCGGTGAGTCGTGGTGCGGAGCAGTCTCTGGTGAGCCCTGCTGCCACAGAATCACGGAATGGTTTGGGTTGGAAGGGACCTTTAAAGGTCATCTAGTTCCAACCCCACTGCTGTGGGCAGGGACACCTTCCGCTAGACCAGCTTGCTCAGAGCCCCAGCCAGCCTTACCTTGAACTCTTCCAGGAACAGGGCATCTACCACCTCTCTGGGCAACCTGTTCCAGTGTTTCACCACCCTCATTGTAAAAAATTTCTTCCTTATATCTAGTCCGAATCTACCCTCTTGTAGTTTAAAACCGTGGCAGAGCTCTGCGTGAAAGGGGGGTTTCACTGCAGGTGGGATGGCTCAGGCAGGCCCCCATGTACAAAGGAGCTGCAAGAGGATGAAATGTTCTCAGCGAGGCTGTAATCTGAGATTTTAGTAACTAGCAAAAGTCTTAAGTGTGAACAAACTGATAATTTTTATCTTCTTCTCCCCCTCAAGCTTATAGCTTGGCCAAATTCAGGCAGATTTTTATACTGTGGCAACATATCCAAGGCATAGCACTTTCTCCCTTACAAAGTCTCTCTTCAAGGATTTTGGAAGAGAAACTTTTTTTATTTTTAAAAGAAAAAGTAATCATCTACATGTATGAAAGCTTTTTCTTAGCCTTATTTTTGGAACTGTTTTGGCTGAATTTTTCTGTGGAGGGGGGAAAAAAAAAATCAGTCCAAAGCAGACAATGCAGAAGGAAAGTTTCGCCTTTGCTGGCTGAAATGTGTCAAAGTTTTAAATAGCCCAACACAGGCTCTCATAGTGGGAAGTGCTGGCAGCTGTAAATATATAGTTACATCCAGCAGGTTAATACAGCATCCAGAGGGAGGATGCCAATACTTTCATTAACATAAATAACTTCAAACGCTCTCTATTTTAATACCTATGTGTAGTACTACCGCAGTAGAGGCTGGGTACGTATCCGAGCACCTTGCCATCCTGGTCAAGTGACCTCATGCTCCGGCTGTTTTTTTCCAGAGTGGTGGTAGGAGGTAGGCGTTGCCAATGGGTCGTTGTTGGGTATCGGGACTCATGTGCTGAAAGCTCTGCAAGAGCTCACCTGTCAAAAGGAGAAAAATCTTTCACCTTTTCCAAAGAAGAAGGAAACTTAGAAAAGACGAGTTTGTGTGCTGTCGCTCCAGTGGCTGCCAGATCGTTCCCACCGTTTGGAAACGCCCCCGTCTGCAGGTGCGTGCAGATTGTTTTGTGACCTTCCTGGTACAGATTTGCTGCATCTATTGCTGTTTTGCTATTGCAAGACACGATGGAATACTTTCAGTGTAGGAAAAAGAAAATTAAACATTTAAAACTTGCCACTTTATGAGGATGAGGAGAATAAAACCAGCTGTCCTGAGCCTTCTCTTGTCTCGATGGCAGTTCACACCAAGAGGCCAGCGGTGCCCTAGACTGCATCTTCTCACTTTCTCATTGGTTTTCACTCTTACAACATGGAAGTTGAAGTAAATTCTTTGTCATTATGCAGCTGCTGTTCTTAATACTTGATACAGTATACTGAATTACATTTAAGCATCTAATGAATTACCTCAAATCCAAAACACGTTAGCACTTGGAAGACTGTGAAGTGCCCTTTTATTATTACTTGATGTTGAGAGCTTTGCAATTTTTCACAGAAACATCTGAAGTTACCCTGTGACTTAGACAATAATCAATTTTCTGTACAAAAGACATGAAGCTGTTTCAGAGATTCTCCTACTTTCAAAGCCACCCTTTTGCAAGTTAGTAAGAAAGCCATTAAAATGATTTCATGCAACGAGTTGTACTTCTGCAGTGGACATCGCTGGGCCAAACAGGTTAGAGAATTATTATGGCAGGGTGCTTGCCTTGAATTTTGGGTGTGGAGGACTGGGTTGAGAGGAGAGGGGCAGCTGCCATTCAGATGCTCATCATCAGTGTAGTTCAACCCAAATCTCAAGGTTCCTGTTGCCAGACAAGGTCTTGTGCTGGTGGTGATCCATAAGTACTGCTATATGTATTGGCAGTAGGGAATATTGCTGGGTGGGGTTGAGCATGTTCTCGTCTTGAGAGCTTGAATGCATTTCTTCCATGGCAGTCCTTCGTGGAACAAAGAAGGATGGTGACTTAACATTAGGTTTGCTACTTAACAAGCCAGGCAACGCCTACGACTTGTGAATTCAACACTAATTGTGGAATTTAATTTCTCCACCCATTTCCCAGCCTCTAGGAGATGTAAGCTGTCAGGGGAATAAGAAGAAATAGGGAGCATTTTTGTGTGTATTTTGTTTAAATTTTGGACAGTTGAAAGAACGGTTGCAAATCAGTCCATGCCTTTCATTGAGTCATAAAATGCCATTTAATGTATGTTGTTTGCTAGTCTGTACTTTATTTGTACAAATCTCTTATAGCTATTTGCATTGTTTGCAATAACCTTTCAAAATGTTAAGAATGCTTGTTATTGCTTTAGGTTTTTCATTTCAGTTAGGGCGTTTTTTATACCTTCTGTTGGTTTCTCACCCCCCTCCCTGTGCAGTTAGTACAGAATATGTATATCAGTAAAGGTTTTCCAAAGTGAGTAGTGACTACCTGCTGGATCTGGCCATACTTGGTTAAGTTTATCTTCTGTAAATCAAATGCACACCTCCTGTGTACAATACATTTCTTCTGGATGGTTTTGTTAACATCAACTAGTATATTTTCTTCCTCTTTTCTTTTGAGGACAAATCAGTCCTTTCACTTAGCGCAACCCTCAGCACTCACAGACCTTTCCCTCTAGTCTTTGTCGAGGCTTCATCTTACTGTGGCTCCACCTCTGGGCTGCTAGCTTTCGCAGTTCTCAGTTGCTGAGTTTTTCTTTGTCCCGTCTCCCGTCTACATGTTTTGGTTATATCACAGCGCTCTGAACGAGTGGTTTTGAGAGCAGTTGGAGGCACAGCGTGCACCACTTCCTGCCTCTGCCGTCCGCGCGGCTGTCGCGCAGCTAGCCTGGTCACCATCTGCAGCAGGCTTGTACGCGGGACATGCCACCACCGACGGGCTGCCCTGCGCTTCTGAGAATGCATCTGAGTTTGCAGTTCCTGGTTTGCAAGATGCCTTGCAGATAAGGTCGAGACTGTCCCTGAGCCGCCCTGAAGAGCAAAAAGTGCGTAGATACAGCCTGTGTGGATGCTCCGCTGATGTATCTTGCGAGTTTCCTTTAATGGGGAGGGAAAGACCAGTTTGAGCCTGGCCTGGTTTCCAGTATATGTTGCATCATATGTCTGTTGGACTGACAGGTGAAAAAGGCAAGTTGAGACTGAAGAGTGGTTTCTTACAGTCAGCTCACCTTGTATAGGTGTTGTCCTGGGGCCATCTTACAGAAGTCTACCTTGTGAAGTTTTTGAAGTTCTGCATCCAGAATTCGCATCTGAAAATCTTGGCTGTAGGACTTTGAGATATATTTGCTAATTTATATTCTAGCAGCGTTGCTCTGATTGACATGTGTGGTGGTTATGTTTATTAGTTTACTAGTCCTGTTAAGTCTAGTGGTGAGAACATGGAATTATGGATGTTTTCCCTGGCATCAATATTCGTTAAGTAGTTACCAGCAAAGATCTCCAGACAGGAAGCTGTACCACAAACAGTGTGAGAATAGGAAGATCTAGGGAGGAAAAAGATGGCAGTTACTCCCTACGTTTAAGCAGGTTTTGCTTTCTGTGCTTGTGATTTAACAGATGTCTTCTTCTTTATGCAGGGCTATAATTGAAGTACAAGATGGCAAGAACCAGCCACAGCAACTATGTCCTTCAGCAGCTAAACAACCAAAGAGAGTGGGGCTTTCTGTGCGACTGCTGTATCGCTATCGATGATATTTATTTTCAAGCACATAAAGCAGTCCTTGCTGCATGCAGCTCCTATTTTAGGATGTTTTTTATGAACCATCAACACACTACAGCCCAGCTGAATCTAAGCAACATGAAGATTAGCGCTGAATGCTTTGATCTTATTTTACAGTTCATGTATTTAGGAAAAATTATGACAGCCCCTGCCAATTTTGAGCAATTTAAAGTGGCCATGAACTATTTACAGCTATATAACGTACCTGAATGTCTAGAAGATATACAGGATACAGACTCATCTAGTTTAAAATGTTCATCTTCTGCTTCTAGCACCCAGAATAGTAAAATGATATTTGGCGTGAGAATGTATGAAGACACACTTGCTAGAAATGGCAGCGAAGCAAACAGGTGGGGCATGGAGCCGCCAAGTTCAACAGTAAATACGTCCCATAACAAAGAGCCTGATGAAGAAGCTTTGCAGCTGAGCAGCTTCCCCGAACAACTGTTTGATGTCTGCAAAAAGAGCACCACGTCCAAATTCTCTCACACAAAAGAGCGCGTGTCCCACTCACGCCGTTTTGGAAGAAGCTTCACCTGTGACAGCTGTGGGTTTAGTTTTAGCTGTGAAAAGCTACTGGATGAGCACGTGTTAACATGCACTAACAGGCATTCCTACCAAAGTGCCAGGTACTACGGTGCTGAAAAAATAGACTTTACTGAAAAGGACTCTACTTCTAAAATAATCTCCACACAAACAGAGAAATACAAGGGGGACTCGAGCCAAGCTGCGGACGATTCTTCATCTCCTGTATCAAACATCACAAGCAGAAAAAGCAGCACGGTTGCCTCCGAGACATCAGGTGAAGAAGGAAGTAGAGCCTCTGAGAGGAAGAGGATTATCATCAAGATGGAACCAGAGGACAATCCTGCAGATGAGCTGAAGGATTTTAATATCATTAAGGTGGCAGATAAAGACTGCAATGAGTCTTCTGACAATGACGACCTAGATGATGAGCAGGAAGAGCCGCTTTACAGATACTATGTCGAAGAAGAGATCAGAGAGAAGAGAAATGCTCGGAAGACTTTAAAACCCCGTTTATCCATGGATGAGGATGAAAGAAAGTGTTTGAAAAGTCCGCGGCACCTTAACAGGAAGGCTCCGTCAGTGCAGGAAGATGTGGAGAACGCTCCCTGTGAACTTTGTGGGCTAACAATCACCGAGGAAGATTTGTCCTCTCATTATTTATCCAAACACATAGAAAATATATGTGCTTGTGGCAAGTGTGGTCAAATACTGGTCAAAGGCAAGCAGTTACAGGATCATGCGCAGACCTGTGGAGAACCCCAGGATCTGACCATGAACGGTGTCAGAAATTCTGAGGAGAAAATGGACTTAGAAGAAAACCCTGAGGAGCAGTCGGAAATAAGGGACATGATGTTTGCAGAGATGCTAGAGGACTTCAGGGACAGTCACTTCCAAATGAACAGCCTTCAAAAAAAACAGTTATACAAGCATTCTGCCTGTCCTTTCCGATGCCCTAATTGCGGTCAGCGTTTTGAAACTGAAAACCTAGTGGTTGAACATATGTCAAACTGCCTGGAGCAAGATCTGTTCAAGAACTCCATGATGGAAGAGAACGAGAGGGATCACAGACGTAAGCATTTCTGCAATCTTTGTGGGAAAGGATTTTATCAGCGTTGCCACTTGCGGGAACACTATACTGTTCATACCAAGGAAAAACAGTTTGTTTGTCAGACATGTGGGAAGCAGTTCTTAAGAGAGCGCCAGTTACGGCTCCACAATGATATGCACAAAGGCATGGCCAGGTATGTCTGTTCCATTTGTGATCAAGGAAACTTCCGAAAACATGACCATGTACGGCATATGATATCTCACTTATCAGCTGGAGAGACTATATGCCAGGTCTGCTTTCAGATATTCCCAAATAATGAGCAACTGGAGCAGCACATGGATGTTCATCTGTATACATGTGGAGTATGTGGAGCAAAATTTAATTTGAGGAAAGATATGAGATCTCACTATAATGCCAAGCATTTGAAAAGAACATAAGCGTAAACATACTGTTAAAGCATTAAGTTGGCAGCAGAGAGAACACCAAAGCAAGGCATAAAGTATAGTAGACAAAAGTTGAAAAAAAAATAATAATTGAAAATAAGTCTCTTTTTTATTATTTTTTTTAAGACCCTCCTAACCATAGGTGTCTATTTAGGCTCATTAAGTATATAGCTTCGAAAAGCATCATGTGTTCAATTATTACATTTTCACTGTTTCCTAATATCAGTTTCTGTTCTTAATTTTATTGTTTTACTAAGTAGATATACAAATCATTATTTTTAAACTGTAGATTAAAAGCACAATGTTACCCCTTCACTGACTGCTATTAAACAGTTCTCGGATCCATGTCCATAAGATGAGTGCTTTAATATTTCCATGTGTTGTTTCTTCATGTGAAAATTTTAGACCACAGCGATTAATGTGCAAGAGCATAATTGTTTATAATCCCCAAATTAATTTTCAAAATGAAAAAAACCCAGTGCCAAGAAATAATCCTTTGCTCTCTGACTCTGCTGTAAGGGCAGAGCTGGCTGTCCTGGTCCTCTGCTTCTTGGCTTTGTTGGAACGTGCATCCCAGGGGTGAGAGCACGTAGGCTCAGTTAAACCTTGCAGACTTGGACTGGTGTGCGCAAAGGGAAAGGGAGTTAATGACTGTCGGGATAACCGAGGAGTTCCCAGCAGAGTGGTCATTTTCCAGACTTGAAGTCCTAGCAGAACTGTACAACTGACATTGGCCTTTCTTTTACTGTCTGTACCTACGTGGGTATATATAACTTGCTTATCCTAACATACAAGGGAAGAGTGGCTGTGGTGGATTGCTAGGAATGCAGAATGGTGATGTGCATTGAAGACCTCATTTTTCAGCCTAGCTGTAAATGGTGCCTTGCTGCTTGTGTTGGGAAGTTAAAAGTGGGATGGGTTTGAAGATAGTCCCATTGCTTGGGCGGGGATGGGAAGGGGGCGTGTGGCTCATGTGAACCTTAGGTTTTTTGTTTCTTGTTTTCATATTTTCTGAATGTTCTGTTTTTCAACAAGAATACAACAAGAAAAGACTGCAGAGTTTGCTTAATAAATGTAAAGATATTTTATGCCTTTTAAGATTTCTTTCTGATTCTAGTATAGCCCTAATCTGCGTAGCTTGTCTCTTAATTTAATTGAATTTAAAAATCCTACTAAGTACCAGCTGACATCAGTTTGAGGCAGTTTGGCCTTTGAGAGAATGACTGGCTTTGACTCTTAGGCACCAGCTGTCTAAATGTTTGTTAAGTGCGTGATTTTTAATGGGGGGAGGAAGGGATCCTAATATGTAATGGTGGAGAAAACTATTAAAAAATAAAACCTAGCAGTACTTTCTCCCAGCAAATCTCACTTTATCAAAGAGGGTAGTGATGCTGTTTCCCACTGAGCCGTGGAGGGAGGAAAGCAATTTAGATCAGCCATTAAGGCAGTGGGACTAGATGATCATTGTAGGTCCCTTCCAAGTGAAATATTCTATTCTGTCACCTCGCACGCCAGTGGTGGGGTTGAGAATAGGAGCCAGGAGCTGAGGGTCTAGTCCAGGGCTTTCACGCGCTTGTCGCTGTCGGAGTTGATCTTTGATCCCTTGTTGTTTCTTGGGGGTTACAAGGGGTATTGAGCTTTAATGTTAGACTATTTAGAGAAATGAATACATTCAGAATCTCCACTATAATTATTTAAATTAGTATGAGTTGCCTTGCATTTATTCAGTTTTAAATGTGTATTAGAATTTCTCTTGGTTGCTAGTGTGTGTGTTTATGCAGTGATGGAGAAGGATCCTGCCACCAGACCTCAGTCCTGAGCCGACAGCTGGCTCCCTGGGCATTGACTGCTTCGGGTGCAGTTTGGGCCGTTAGCGTTTTGCTGTAACTGCTCAGTCCTATGTTTTCTTGTATGATGCTGAAGCCAACCAAGTCCTGAATAACACTGGGGCCAAAAAGACCACAGATGTGATTGCACTCCAGCATTTCAGTGAATTCAGAGCTTCCCCCTTCTTAGGATTTATTCCACATTCCTCATCCCAACCCAGACTGAAGCTCAGTGTGTAGAAGTTCAAAGAATAAGTGGGATAGGTACTTTAACACTTTTTAGCACTGGAATCAGTGCTAAGGTGATTATAAGACTCTTTAGAAGACAAAATATTTAACTATAATGATCGTCTTAGAGATGCAGTAGTGAAGTGCTGTAGTCGAAGAGTTGGGAGGGTTAATACACTGCACACACCAATTCTCTGACACACAGGTTATCTGTGACATTATCAGCTATGGCTGGGCTGGGAAAAGCAGCCAAGGGAAGCGAGGGAGAACTGGAGGGCACTGGGGGAGCGGGAGGGCTGAGTGGGAAAGGAGTTCCTGAGTGGGAGGGAGTGCCAAAGGCTGGGGGGGTGGGCAGGATTAGAGCTGTGCAGTGGGAAGCAAATCCCAAAGGTGGAGTGGAGGGGGCGGCTGGCGGAGTGGGTAAAATGTCCTGTAGACGCCTGAGACCGGAGTGAGAATGACTCAGCTTGGCTGGGAGAGCTGTCGGCCTGGGTGATTAGCTCACTACGGCACAAACTCGGAGCGAGGATTGTGTACCAAGTACAGCCAGCCCCTGTGCTGGAAGGACTGCAGTGGCACAGCAAAGCCTAGATTAAATACCTTGATGAAAAGGAAGAGGTGACCTTTGCGAACTAAGAGATCATTCCTGAATACAGTGAAGGGCTAAGGGTGATTTATGGAGACGCCTGCTAAGGGTCAGGAGCCCTTGTTTACAATGTATTGGTCTGAACTTGACCCAAAAACATTTCACAAAAAATGTGACTTCCTAGTGTAAGCAGACCTGCCAACTACAGAAGTTAAATGGAGGAACTGGGAATGATGATATTTATGTGTACTGTCTAACTTTATAAACACCCTGGAATACCTTTGGTTTTCAATTATAAGCTGTGTTGTAGTAGCCTTTCAAAGGAAAGTTTGTTAAACCTTCCAACTGAACTGGAATTAATTTTTTTTCCCTGTTCTTGTGAAACAAAACCCAGTGCCTTGGGAGTTCATGTGTATGAAATGTCCAGGCTAAAGCTCAAAAAAAGCATGAATTGCACTGCAGGTGAGCTTAAGAGTGGATCTGCTTGTATGTAGGCAGAGAAAACCAGAATGACTGAAGTAGCCCGAAAACTGATCAAGGGGAGTATAGGAGAACAAATCAAAGGTACTAAGGCACAAACAAGACAGCCTGGCTTGCAAGTAGATCGGGAGAGTGCTTATGGTGATGTGTAAAAGCATGCAGGGGAGTAGCATGGGACTATTGAAGAAAAGGCCTGGAGTGACAGGAGGAATTTGGCTGCTGTGAACAGGGAGAAGGGGTGGGTGCTGAGGCAGCCTGGGGCTGGTCACTTCTGAGGACAGGGGTGTTCTCCCCAGAATGGGACAGAACAGTAAAATGAGGGTGTTTCAGCGCTCCTACCGTGATAAAAATTACTTACTGTGGAGACAGAATGAAAGCAGACCTGAAAAAAAACCCAACTGCAGTTATGATATCCTAGAAGTCTTGCTGTTACTTGAAAGGTGGTGAAGGGGAGGCAAAAATACTTCATTTAGAGTTGTGTTTTCTCTAACAAATCTGTACTTCTCAGTCATCATAACATAGTTCCTTTGCATCTCCTTACTGCACTATGTGGACTGTTAGAGTGTAAAAGCACTTAAGGATATTTGAGTGGGGGTGTAAGCATACCACGTTGCACAAGGTGTAGCCAGAAAAAGAAGGACTTGCTGGATGCTCTGACTTATATTTTTAAGTGATTTGCTATTTGTATTTTTGGAGGGCCTCTCTCTGTTTTGTTGTTTTCCTCATTTTGGCAGTGGTGTGGGCTGTGACCCTGAAAATAATTTGTAAGTAGCCAGCCTAGCTCTTAGCTTTCAGGATTTACTCAAGGTGAAAAAGAGGGAATTCATGAAGACCCAGAATGAGCCTTAAAATATCACAAAAGCTGTTGAGCTTCTTTTTCAGTTTCAGAGGAGATGTTTCAAATGTTAAAAAATATATATACTTGTAAATGCTTATTGGCAACTTGTTAATTCAAAGAGTATTTACATTTGTGTATAATGATACTTGTAGCCAACAGGTCTGTGGAGAAATCTTGATTTGACTAGAGTGTCACAGAATTCTAAGAATTTATGCTTTTATTAGGGGACTTATCTATTTAATATTTTCAGTTAATGGAGAAAATACAATTCAGCATATTTTTTATTCAAAGCTGAAGACAGAAAATGTACTGCCCTGGAGAATACATTAAAAATACTTTGTTATAAAAGTGAATACTTTGACTACACTATTATATTTGAACACTAGTGCTAAACCATCAAGAGTATCTCGCTTATTGGTGAGGACATAAGTTTGCTCCTGAAGGCAGTGCCACCTTGAGCTCTGGTAGCCCCTTCCTCCTCCCCACCTAGTTCCAGCTCTCATATCCCGTGTGTGCCACCCTCTCCATTGTCAAAAAGCACGTATTTATGTAGCTTCACAATGAACTGAATCAAACAACGGTCTTTTTTTTATTCCGTTGGGGCTATTTTTTGGCTGGACCAGTTCCCCGCTGTGCTTCCCTCTCCGCCTCTATGTCAGATCTTGTGCTAGCACAATAGAAGGGGTGGCACGAGGGGAGAAGAGAGTGGCTGGGGGGGGGGGGGGGTTTCCAATATACAG